GCTTCGCCCTCTACTGTCTCCGCCCCCCGCCCTACCCCGTCCCCGACGACGGGCCCGCCGGCCGCCTGCTCGGCCTGCTAGACCGCCACCCCTTCCGCCCGGCCCACGTGCACTTCATCGTCTCGTGTCCCGGCCGCCGCACGCTGACGACCCAGCTTTTTGATGCCGAGGACCCCCACCTCGAGGACGACACCGTCTTCGCCGTCAAGGAGGACCTCATTGCCGTGTTCCGGCCGGCCGACGAAACGGATCCAATGGGGGCCAGATGGCGGGTCGACTTTGATTTTGTCCTGGCAGAGGCGGCTTGATCCTTCCCTTCTCTGATGCTCTTCTTCTCCTTCTCCTTCTTCATCTTCTCACTCAACGGGCGGCATGCTTTGGGGCATTTCTAGACAAGAGAGGCGTTGTTGATGGACTCGGTAGAGTGGCAAGCGATGCAGGGTCACGCCTCATTCATTTAGGGAAAAGTAGTCCTGTAGGGAAAAGTAGCAGATAGAACGAGCCGTGTCAAACACGAGTGCCTAGCTCCATTATCTTCGGCCCCCGGGTCTCACCTCGCGAATATGCATCACATGCACGGCTCACACGCGGGCACTTGTATCAGGGCCGGAAAATGAGTACACACAGCCTCGTATTTACTATTGCTTTGTCCTGTGGGGGAGACGTACGGGTCCCTGACCGGTGGCCTAGTGTGATGGATGCATATGGCTGTGACTGGATTGCGATGAAGCAAATGTCTGTTTTCGATTGCTCATCAGCTTTGTGGAACATGAACATGAATAAATAAAACTTGGGTATCCTTTTCTTCTCTCCCTGACCTTTCCTGTTCACTTTTTCGACGTCCGTAACTCCTCCCCCAAACCTGCCAAGCCCGCCCATGGCCATGCAAATTCCCATTACGCAGGAAACTCGTCAAGAACAATAATTCCCTTTCCTGCTCTGTTCTCCAGTTCTCACTTACCATTGGTAAGCTGAAAGTCTCTCTCACCTGCGTGGTCTGCAGCTCCAAACATCAAAACTCAGCGGGTGCGAACAACGAAGATGACGAGGGGATACTGTGGCCAGTAGGCATCGCATCCCCGTTAGAAACAATCCCACCGGCACCGTATCGGCCGTATGCTGACGCCAATTTGTCGTTCGGTACATGTCCTGGACCAAGTGCTCTCTCGCTCTGAGCCGCCGTTCTGGCTTCTCCGGGTCCCATTGGCCTTGCCGATGTTGATTGGCCGCCATTCGTTGCCACCGCGGGCAGTGCCGAAGTCGGTGCAGGTGTCCAAGGCCCCCATAGGTTGTCAAAGTCCAACTCGTTGTCACCCGTGTCCGTATCCCGTCCCCCACTGCTGACGGCTGCACTACTCGCCGGCGATACACCCGCAATTCCGAATGAGGGGTGCGGGGTGCTTTCCATCTTCATCGCAAGCGGCGCCGGTGGTGCCGCCATTGCTCTGCTCGCAGAAGTAACCGCCGACACCGGCGAGACGAACGAACTTCTTCGAGATCCTTTGCTGGGCGTGAAGATGCCAACCATGGGGTCAACGCCGCTGGCAAGAGGGGCAGGGCCAGGTAGAGCAGGCGTATCCATGTCTTGCTCCCGAACATGTGCGACAGCCGCCTTGAACGAGTTGAGAATATAGAGCAGTCGATTAGCCTGGGGGTCAGACTTTGCGCAATACTGCATAATAGTGATTGAGTTGTTGATCAACAACTCGTACGAGGGGTTCGCATAGACTGAGCCGAATTCATTGCTCAGTACGATAAGACTGGCAGCAAAGAGGAAGTATCTAGCGACAACACGTTTAGTGATTAGTGAAGATGGAAAGCAATGCTACTTACAAGACAAAAGGGTTTCGCTGCGGCAGGTAGTTGCTTTCATATGCCTGCTGTACCAGGTCGATGGTGTGGGTGGATGCAGCGAAGCAAGCCTCACAATACTTGGACATGCGGTTGACCCATCGAGGGACCGGCAGCTTTACTCCACTGCGTTCGTTGTGCACTTTGCTGAGTTGACAAATGAAGAACGGTCTCGTCAGAAGAAGTATCGAGTGCGAGTAGAGAAGGTTCACGTGCAGAGCGGCGATGCCCTGTGCTGCGTGCCAGGGTCTTGTCCGCACCTTGGTGCAGTGAAGATCGGGATGTAGGGAGGAGCTCCACGTCTGGCATTGCTCCGCGATTTCATGTGCTAGTCGCAATGATATTCGTCTTCGGGCGTAGATCTTCTTTAGAATTTGGCCAATGACTTGACAGCTTCGGACGGCTGCGTCGAGACCGCTGGAGGTATCGGAGACTCGTGTCAGCTCACCCACATGGTTCTTCTCGAAGACCATCAAGGCGTCCTCTGAACATTCGTCTTCAGCAATGGCGGCCGGGCGTCCTAAAGAGGCTGCCAAAAACCTGTCGAGGACAAAAAGGCTTCGCCAAAGGTTTCGTCTCAACCTCACATCCTCGCTCGTAAAAATGGAATGGTTCTCTTGTACTCTGTGTAGACCAAGAGCAAATGCAGACCGCACTGCCATGCCTGTCCACTTGTTAGTCAAGACTCTGTAGCATAGCACGTGACAAATTACCAAAGTAGGCATATGCCGCATTGCGCTTCGAAACAGCGAGCATATAGACGGCCATCAGGGACAACGCCTGGACAGACCAAAAGTCGGCGTCCTCAAAACCAGAGACGGGATCTGCAAGAGATTTGGCGCTGCGAAAGAACATCTCCGCTCGGTTGAATTGATCTGTCCGAAGCTTTTTGAAAACCGCGTCTTCTCGAGTTGACGGCAACGGCGTCCCGAGAACAGTGCCGATCGCGAACGTCAAGTAAAGAAGACAGATAAAAGACGACTGTGCGGAAAGAGGATCGGAATAACATGCCCCAACGGAAGCCTCAAATGCCGAGCGGTTGAAAATCTCAATCAAACCATGCGTCTGAGAAAATCAGTCGGATGTGGCAAAAAAGTATTGATCAACGCCGAAGCCGAGCACGACGCGATCACCAGGCAAGATGGAACATCACTCACATTGGTGAAGAAAGAGCCAACTAGAATTTTCGCCGTTTCTTGATCAGGCAGGATGTGGGATGGTCGCACATTCGCTGGCATGTTGATGGTCGGCTCCATGATTTTGTGTCGGCTTGGATCCATTGTGAACGCATTGGGACCTGTCCTTGTCTCAACAATCATGCGAATGAGCTGCAGATAAGCCAACGAGGCAGAGTCTCCGACATAGACTATGGTTCACCAGGTCAGCCCGTCAATGCACTAAGATTGGTCCTGGGACTTCTTACGTAGCCTTCCAGTTGGGTCCTGTAGCATTCTCGTGGACTGAAGAAGGGACGTCTCTTCGTCTGGCCCAGAAACCGTGCTGTTTCTAGAGTTGTTCTCGTACTCATGGTCTGGCGCCAGAAGCTCATTGTCTGGCTCAGTGGATGTGCTGGGATTAGTGTCAACCCTGGGACGTCCCACGATGCTCCCGTGTCGACTAGGATCGTTGCTCCAGGGCGCATACACCGTGGTGGGACTATGGTGATCTGGCAAATTGATTTCTGGTGAATCAGTCTTCACCGGTGAACTATCGTCAACATGGCGTCGCTTTGCTGGCGTGGCGGACGGGAGCGGGGAGAGCTGATCTAGATCGCTATTGGGTGCCTTTATGTAGGTACAATCCAGGCTCCGTTTGCTGCAAGTATTGCAGGGCTGTATGCCGTTGCACTTTCCGTTAATGTTAGCAACCAAAAACATTCAACAAGACGCCGAGCGGGGGTATTTTTGAGTATCAAGATGGCCAATTTTGATGCGTGAAGCACATGAGCGCTCGTCGTCGTCAAACTGGTGCCTTTGTCTGTCCCTGGGCTGGGCGGCGGGAGGTGCCATATGCGAATAGTAAAGGCCAGACGCAGCAGCAGATGTGCACAACAATCGACGGTGACACTTGAGCCTTCCGTCGCTGTGAGACTTTGTGTGGCGCTACAGCGCCTCGGAACGGCTGGCGACCAAGTCGAGGTCACCCGAAGGGAGTTCTTCCGACGTCAGAGTTGGGCGAGGCAGCGCCATAACAGCCGCTGGCCGAGATGAAGGATTGAAGAGAGTCGATGGCGGCGCGGCACCTAGCCGAAGCAACGGGATGAGGCTCAAGTAGTGAGACCCTAACGAGCCACAGGTGTAGAAATTTACGACGCGGCCGGTGCGCTTCGTTGGACGTGCAGTGACGGGTATGAGGGAAGGAAAGCATAGGCGGCTACTTGGCCGTGCCTCGGGTGCGGAACGACAAACGCGACGATGTTGTGGGAGGCAAAAATCAACAGCTACTCAAGCTGGAGCGGCATAAGACAGACAAGGTAGCATTGGGAGGGGATATGAAAAGAATGAGAAATATGCGCCATCTTCTCACCTTCTGCTTTCGCCGCTTGCACGTTTCGCAAGCTTGAGCAGTTCGAATACGCTTCTCAGGCGGGACCTTGGGCCGAGTCATATTGTTTACGGCCCATCAGTCAAATGTCGCGTGTCGGTGGCCCGTTGTCTTGTGTCGTTTGGTCGTCGAGGGACACACCATCCAATAGCGGCAGCGGTGGGGGAGCAGTAGCAACAGCAGCAGCCAGAAGAGCGCCGACTGTGCCGATAGTCAGCGGCTGATCCGGGTCGTGTCAAGTGCAGATGAGTCGAGATCGGGTCGGGCGGGATCGTAATGCGGAAGTCGGGTCGGCGCCGGGATGTACGGACTACTGCACGCAGGGGGACTTGAAAAGTCGAGCTGGTGAGAATGTGACAGAACGGGCAGCCAGCTATCAGGCGCAAGGCGGACAGCAGGGGCAAGTCGACAAGGTAAGCATTGCCGTCGCGCTGGCGAGCTGAGCCGCGACAGCTCGAGGCACACAGCGGGCAGAGCCAGACAGGACGAACGAGTTAGTCCTTTGCAGAGTCCAGTCGGATTGGTCACGGCGTAAGATCAGAGGTACAGCAGGGCTGGTGTGGAATTGGATGCGGATGGGGTAGGATGAGAGCGAGGCGATGTGAAGAGTAAAGTGAGTCGAGGTGCCGCCTTGTGGATTCGGGGGACCGAATGCCGCCCGAAAGCTGTGTCCCAATGACAGGGAAACAGAAATGGCGTGAACTGACGAGGCCAGCCAGGGTTGAGCAGCTGAATCGCGCCAAAGATCCCGATGACGAGTCTAGCAGGGACCGGTGGCTAGGCTACTCGGGGCATGCCTGCGGGGATGCGCTCCTGTGGGGGAAATGAGGGAAGAAGGCTGTGGTTGAAGAACGCGACGACCGAGGATCAGATCCATCGGAAGAGGGAAGATGGCTAAGTGATGGGGGCTTGGGGCAATCAAGTAGAGTTGAACAGGGATAATTGAGGGGATCCCTTTCGCTGACGGCGGGCGCCAGGGCTGGCCAGGGCCGGGCGCAGGCGATCCGTCCCGTGAGCGATGTAATGGCACTGGTCGCAGTCGTGGTGTCGTCGAGAGGAGATAACAAGAGCGAGCCAGCACCATAGCGATAATTATATTGACAGGGGTCAGAGTCGAGACCCGAGCGACTTCATGTCCTCCGTCCTCAACATCTCATCCCAAATTCCATTCCCTCCTGTTGGTGGTTATTGTGCCAATGTGCGGTTTGCTAGCCCGTTGGTCTCGTCACATTTATATGATCTGTGAGCGTGATCCGGTTTTGACACCTTTGGTGGTAAGCAGGCTTCAACCGACGTTCAAACTTCAACCACGGGCCCATCTCTGGCCTTTGCTCATTGGGTTCCAACTTCTTCCATCCTCTTCTCGAAGAATCAGTCGCACACGGAGAGGCGGCCTGCTCGCTTTGCAGAAGTCCCTGTCGAGAAGAATAAAATCCGGAGGAGCACCGAAAGGTGCCGCTGATTGAACCTAGTGAGATGGGTCTTATAATTGACAAGGCCATATTTTTTTGGGAAGTCGGTAGGCGATCCAGGAACCTTGACCACTCCCCCAAAAGAATTGCATATCCGGAGAAAAGAGAAACGGCGTACGCACAGTATGGTGCGACGTCGGTGAACTTGCTGCGGCGCTTGGGCCCCCCATCGAATCAAGAAAAGTCTGGCGGGCGGGCGCGTGGTACGTCGTACTGGGGAATAGTAGAAAAGTGTGGTCAAAGTCGAGATGCCCCGGAACAGCTATGATAGGCCTTGTCTATATGGCATGGTCAGGCCATGCCATACGGCATGCATGCAGCCCACGGTCGACATCGTGGCGAACCATGGCGCCCAACGTGAACAGTGCATTTCCATAGTCGATAGGTGCACTTCTTCCCATGAGACTAGCGCTCTGCGATTCGCTCTCATCTTGTTTGTTGGCATTGCCGCCGTCGGCTCCATCCTCTCAAGGACTCTCTGTTTGCCTGGTTGCGTTGTCGTACGATCCGAGGAGCTTTGCGTATTTATAGCCGGTGTCATCTTCAAAGGGTTGGGAAGGTAGGTTGCGGCGATAGCACCTTTGAAGGGTGGGCAGCTGCTTCGCCAGCTTGCACAGTGAAAGCTGGCCGAAGAAACGTAGTGTCCATGCCAGGTCACGCGCTTAAAATGGCTCGAGTAAGGCGGTCGCCCTCCAGAGCAAAGTTCGGAACGCCGAGCCGTTTTCTTTTCTGATTTACCTTGGCAAAAGCTGTGACACCCCAGAGTCTCGGTTGACGAGATGGACGTGGTGTGGTAACAGGTTCGAGGCACTGGCTGGCCTGGCCTCAAGTCTGTGGCCAGAACGCCAGGGGTCGGCAGCTGGCAGCGGCGTGCTGGTGACAGGGCCGAACAGGAAGGGTTCGGTCGAAAAATGCCACCGTCTTGATGATGGTGCCGAAAACGGGTATGAAGATGAACAAAGAGGATCGGGTGGGATAAAGTGGTGGGAATCAAAATACCCAAGGCACCGTACCTAGGAAGGTACCTTAAGGCAGACAAGCGCTGGGTTATGTTCCCGGGTCGAACCTTGAGGAGATGCAAGGCACTTGCCTTCGGTTTATCTCCCTAGGTGCACCTCCCTCACTACCCTTGCTACCTTGGCTGTCTAGCTACTTGACGGGTAGGGAGGGTACCTAGGCACCTTAGGTAGGAAGCCTCCACTCATAGGGGACTTGAAGTGCTGAATGGCCTGAAGATGAGCTGCTACCACCAAGCGAGAAGCATTTGTCTGGTCCGCGAAGCAATGGAAGGCGCAAGCTGCAAGCAAGGACACATACATCCACTGGCGCAAAGCAAGGTGTCTATAACCCAAGGTGCCTGCCTAGGTACTACGAAGGTACCTACCTACCTGGTAGGCAGGCTAGGCAAGCAGGCAGATACGCAAATAACGTCCTTCCTCTTCCCACCTCATGCCGAGAGCAGCGGAAGGTGCACCTGGGACCCCCAATGACTCAGCATTGACGCGCTCCTGGCGACGACGAACCGGCTTCTTACTAGCTGTCTGTGTCTTCTTTCGCAAGCTTCGTTCGCTCACTAATGTTTGCGGCTTGGTTACTTTGGTCCCACCACTCGTCCTTGCACCCTTCTCGTCCAAAGACCAATAGTACCCGTTCCGTAGTTCCGTTTCGCCTCGTTTCGCTACCTACTATAGCATTCGTGGGGGCATGCACTGCCGTCATCACCTGTTCTGGCCTCCCGCGTCTTCAAGCACAACAATTCACAAGAGGGAAGGCTGTGTCCCCCTTCCAGGCTGTCCGTCCCGTGACGTCTGTGAGACCTCGACCCGATACTGCACTGCCCGTCTCTCCAATCTACACTACGAGCGCCATCTGGAGTAGCGAAAGAGCCCGATAATGGCTCGCACGGAGCGATCTCCGCAGACTGTTGCCCAACCAAGGTGTCGAGAAAAGGGAGCCCCTCGCACCTACATCCCCGGTGGCAAGTGCGTCAACATAGGGGACGAGCATGGGACAGTTCAAGTCTATTTCTGCAGACCGCCCCGGAGCCTGGCCAAACAAATACTCGGATAATGCACCCATTTCTTGGACGAGTGCTCAACCGAGACGCCACATGATCCCGCTGGTGTCCTTGCTTTCCCCACATTCCGGTTGCTTGGAGCCATCGGATCACAGTTGCCAACCTGTGGCTCCAGACTCTATCTGCACAAGCGGAACGACAAGTGCCAGGGTCGCGCTCAAGTGACGCAGTCAACCTGCTGCTCGGCTATCTTTGGCTGGTGATCCCCTGTATTTCTTGCAGTCAACAGCTCGATGGTAGCGATTCATGCATGACGTTTTCCCGCCCCGGAGCTCACATCAAAGTCCCCCACTACTGTCGCTCCCTGACGAATTTCGCCATGGGCTTCGGTTGCCCCGCGAGGCGCACGTCGAACAGAACATGGTGGGGGGCAGTGACAGATTACGCATGACGAAAGATTGCTTGGACGCTCTGCTATGTGCCGGGGTCGTGAACTTACACCGCATGTGCCGACAAGCATTGGTGAGGAGTCCTCGGAACATGGATAGGAACGCCTTTCTGTTCAGAACCGCTGACTTGAGAAGAGTATCCATTCCAATTCGAGCGCACTCGATCGATATGACAGAAGACGTCGCGCTGGTTTCAGACCTCTTCCGGGCGGCGCGCCACGACAGGCGGGACTAGTTTCTGATCCGTCCCCCATGTTGAGGCACTAGATCCCAACCGTAAGGTTTCCGTGCGTCGCCGACTGCTTCATGACGACCATGGCAGTCCCGTCAGTGGCGGTTCACTTCGTGCCCGGCAAGGCGGGTCGCCGCCTCCCTGCTTAGCTTCGGTCTCGTTACTGTTCAAGCTTCCTCGTTGGTCCGCTCCAAGAAACTCTTACTTCCAAGCCGACCACAATAGGCATCACCTGCCCATGATCAGCATGTTACCACGGTAAAGCCGCCGCGGACTACCAGCTACCTACTTCGCCCTCTGCTGTGGATCCTCTTGCTTCCCGCTCGCCTGTTCCGTACGTGTGATGTGGTATCCTTCACCAAGGGCCAGATTCCTTGAGTCCCGGCCCTGGTCCGCATGGTCAAATGCTTCCTTTGTCTTCTCATCACGCACAGTCTCACCCGTCACGCATCT